GAGGCCGGCGGTCCGGTCGTGGATCGGTCCGCCAGTTGAGGAAGACTGGTCTATGGCCCAGAAAGTAGTCATGTAGTACCCTCCCATACCGCTCGGAAGCAGCAACAGCTAGCCAATTGCCTTGTGTCTCGACGAGAGACAAGCGAATTTGTGACGCATGAATGCAGGACGACGGTGAAACAATAAATATGAAAGATGATAAAATACTGTTTTCTTTGTGCTCATTCGATTCCAATCCAAGCTGTTATAACGTCATTCTTCAGTGTTAAAAACGGTGATAGTAACAATATAACACGTTAATTGGTAAAATAAGCGCGGGGGGGGGGGTCACATTTTTAGCTAGTGGTGTGCCGCGAGATTTTTTTCAATGAAAGAAGTGTGCCTTGGCTCAAAAAAGTTTGAAAAACACTGGCCTAACACATACGGATGCACGCACACACGCTGCCTCTCACCGCTCTTGTTGTGTACGGCCAGCATGACTTTCCCGTACGAGCCTTCGCCCAACAACTTGACCACTTGGAAGTGCTCTGACGTCTCCAACTTGATCAGCGACTGCGCCGTCAGGTGGCACATGTCATCCAGAAGCCGGGTGGCCGCCTACACACACGCGCACATGCACGGGAGAGTCAGGAAAGCATGTCCATTAAATCATTCACTGATATTGACGGCGAAAGAAGGCTAATTATAAATTGCAGCTCCGACATAAAGAGAGCTGTCGTGTTGGCTTTTTAAAACATATGTAAGTTGAGGGGTTCGTAGGTTTTGGATGGATTGCCTTACGTTCGGAATGGCAAAAAGGGGAGATGGACTTAGTTTGAACACAGTTCTTTTTATTTTTGTTAACGTCTACCTCGTAACTCTCGAACGAACGCACCTTTTTCTGGAAACGATCACACTTCCTGCTTTTCTTCGCCAATCAGATGCAAGCAACATAAGAATATTTCAGAAAGTATTAAACAGAATATAATTTAGGTAAATGTAACATAAAATAATCTAATGCTCAAATATAAAACGATAATAATTAACAATTTAACAAAAGCTGACACATACACTTTATTAATTCGTTTAACATTCAAGCAAATACGGGGCGCGTCTCTGTTGACGACGTGCCTGCTCTCGCGTTCGGCTCGAGAGGCGTTCAAGGACCGCCTCCGAAAACGTAATTTAACGATAACTTGAATGACACGAAGAAAATCGAAAATAATCCACCAGAACAGAAAATCAAGCCAGGAAATCACAAAATGAATTTTATGGGGGGAGGGGGGTTGTGAACACACAACAAAGGAATAAATAAACAATTCTGAAACAGTCCAGTCTTTTAACCCTTTCATGCACCCTGTAACCTGATCACATGATAAACTGTCCACTGTAGTAACAGCTGTCCCTGAAAGGATGAACTCGGCTGGCAGTGTTATTAGTGGAAACAAAGGCATCCAGTGGTCTACACTCTGGTCTCTAGTCAATCACTGGACTGGGCGCCAGCCAATTTAAGTACACATCTCGACAAAGTATGAACTTGCCAGCAGGCACTGTCAGCGCCAGCGCAAGGAAGGGCACGGCGAGCCGCTGGCCAAGCGAAATCATGGCAGGCATGGCAGGCGGTCTCGCTCGAATGAGCTCTTGAAAAGTAAAAATAAAATCTGCGGCCGGCTGTTTGACATCAGTGCGGCGGCAACAATCCGGAGACCTCGAAACATGTCAGGCGGCCGTGTCAGCGACATCTCACTCATCCTCTTTCATGGTGATTTACGATGTTTGTCAAGAGCTTTCGAGGACCCCAATGACGTGCGTTGCTATTTATAACAAATGGAACATAAATAACCCAAATGGACAAAGCCCCTCTGAACTTTGACCCTTGTTAAAGCCACTGAGCAGAGTTTGAAGTCCAACTTAAATGGCTAATTTTGTGAAATATTCAAATTCATGTGGAACACTTCTCCTACTGTGCAGTGTGTCATGTACTCGGAACACTGCAATAATCCATGTCATGTGCAATGCTACTACTCGGGCCACAATGCTATTATTTACCTTCTTGCATGACTAACTTTTGTAGTCATCATTTTATACAGTTTTTTTTCCCAGCTATATATTCTTTTTCATAAATGTCTGCACCGGTGAAGAAGGTGCTCCAAAAAAAAAAAAAGGGATCACGCGTTAAGTCTTTTGTCTCTGATTGGTTGTTTGTCCTCCTGAGTGGCAAATACAAAGTCAAATTAGAGGAACAAAATCGCGTCAGAGTGGGCAGATTTTTTTTCCCCCTCAAGTTATTTGACTGATGTCAGTTTCTGGTGACAAAACGATTTCTCTTTGATAGAACTTGAACTACATGAATTTTACAGGGCTTGCCTGTGTACATTTGAAAAAAAAATAGGAATATTTTCAAGGGAGGTGGCATGACTGGAAATGACTTTTTATCAAATTAATCAACTTCAATTTTGATAACTGTTTCGAGACGTGGCTTAAGTTTCAATTGTAAAATTGTTAACTATTGCTGAATGAGAATAAGACAATTGCTTTCACTTGGGAAAAAAAAACAACAATCAACATTTTTTGCCAATTTTCTGTCAGAACAAACCAGTACAGTAACCGAATCGTCACCATCAGCTGGTTTGTGCATTTTTCTGCTGTCAATTGGAAAAAATGGCCTGTTTTTAACTTCGGGGTTGGAAATTAAAACTTTTTAAGTGAATACATCAAATAATTAAAAAAAAATTTACAAAATCACTTAACGCTTATCAAAATAATCATTAGTTGCTGTTCCAACTAGCTTAACCCAAGGACTCATTTGACATGCTTGAGTTTTGCCAGTCCAGTAACTTGAACTTTCAGACCTGAGACTTGCACACGTGACTCAGCTGAACGCCTGCCTGCTAGTGTCAAAACATTCCATTTATCTTGGCATGACATTTGTCTTGACGCGGCCATGCCTGATCTAATCTAACTCAAAATACTTGAACCTGTACATGTTACGCAATGTTTTTTTTCCTTGTGCTGGTGAAGGAATCAACTTCAGTCACATTACCGTCATTTTTGAGCTCCGGTCCAAACGTTGTCCCTTCAGCAGGTGCACCTACGGCCAGCGTGTCCGCTGTTATTGGACCACATCCGAACCACCAGGGCCCCGAGAATCACCAGCACAACCGGGAAGTGCGAGTCAGTCAGGCGTCTTCGCAGCTCCTCTCAAATGAGAGTGAGCAGCTGGATGCAGGCTACAACTAGCCAGCACGTTATGTCCTTTCACGCACGCAGGCGCACAGGCACACACTTGGCTATAATAGCGTGTAATAGAAGCCGATTGGAGAATCAGTGGTACTGAGAGCTATGCTTCCGTTCAAAAGTTGTGAGGGGTTCGTGGGGGGCTCGGGTATTTAGAAACATCTTTCAAAAATAGTGGCACTGGTAACTGTTGAGATATCTGTGAATAATTGACATAAACATCGAAAAGGGAGAGGATCATAAAACATCAACGCCATGCTTCCTGCATGTACGCAATGATCAACTCATGTTGCAGAGTGCATTTTAAATGATTCATGACAAACTTTCACACGGGGCTGAAAAATGGCAGAGAGGGGAAAAGGGACAATATCAAACATTTTATTTACACAAATGTGTTTTCCAAACCAAGAGACAAAACGGAAAACTGCTCAAAATGCTTTTAGTTCTGCTTGTATAGCAGAGATGACAACACAACAACTTGTGCAAAGAGCCTTCAATTGCTCCAAACACTCAACCTTACAAAAATAGCTTTGCCGTGCACCATTGTATGAGGATTTGGGTTTGTTTCAGTGACAGGAGAGGGAAGAGGGGTTCTGCCTGCACTCTGACTTTACGAGGCCACACCAGCTGAAGCTGAATGCCCGAAAACTTCCAACGACTTCAGGGAGGCCACTAACTGGTGTCCAAAGCAGGATCATAACAAGCTCTGGTGAAGCTGGAGGCAACTGCACTCCTCTTGGTTGCGCAACTCAATAAGCTTCTTCACTCCAAAACCAAATTTGGGAAAAAAGATAAAAAAGGCTTGTTCAGCTCAACATTTTTTTTATTAAAATTCATAACAAGAGAAGCCTTTTGGATTAAAAGTGGAACATCTTCAATGTTTCAAAACAAAGCATCACCAAAAGCAAACACATTAAATTAAAATAAAATACCCCCCCACCCCCAAAAAAATAACTCAGGCCAGAAGGCTTCTTGCAGTTCAACTTTCTGTTTTAAGTTTAGTTGAATTTTTTTCAATCAAAATTCAGAACCAAAATACTTTTACGTTAAAAAAAAAAAAATTAAAAAAAAAGTCATTTAAAAAAACAAAACAAGAGAAAAAAAACAAAACAAGGGATGTCCGATACCACTCTTGAGTATCGATACGTTTAGTGCTTTTGATCCATACAATTTCCTTGAACACAATGACAACGATTGTGAAGAGACCGTTCTTTGACGATTCGCCGATGCATACCCGTCAACTTGTACATTTTCCCCGTATTTTATACGTTTCTTTTATCATTTCAAATCATGTACGGCGTATTACAACTTTTATACGGAAAAAAATAAATAAATTGTGAACCGATCTCACAAAGACCATTTTGGCTCAAATCCATATCGTCTCACCTGCTGGCAGCCAACGACAACGCCGTCGTCGATCGCTACTATTGTCACAGCAAACCAGCAAAAGTAATTCTCAATCGTATTTTTTTTTCATCGCTGCGTAGGGTCGGATTGATAAAGCATGATGTGCGCATGCGAGGTAAGCCGTTGTACGGGTTTTTGTTGCTTTGTAAGGGGAATCGTAATCATTTATAAGGGCAGCTATTAGCCGAGGTTGACAGGTATGCCGATGGGTCAATAACTGCGCGGTATACAATAGTGCAAACTACTGCCAAGGACTTGATGTCAGATTTTTTTTTTTTTTTTGCCTTTAGTATTGGTGGCTGGTATCAGCACCATCCACCCATGCCCGATACCTCAAAATAAGGCCGAGATCGGCCCAAGCCCCAAACACTGGCATTGGTACTCGCTCATCCCTACAAAATACGCAGAGAAAACAAAACAAACAAACAAAAAAAAACAGAACTCAAACCAACTCCCACTTTCAAGAAAACAAAATTGGCTTTTTCAGTTCTCATTTTTATCCATCTGAATTTAGAACCATGGGTTGGTACTCGCTCATCCCTACAAAATACGCAGAGAAAACAAAACAAACAAACAAAAAAAAACAGAACTCAAACCAACTCCCACTTTCAAGAAAACAAAATTGGCTTTTTCAGTTCTCATTTTTATCCATCTGAATTTAGAACCATGGGGGG